CCCCAAAACCCCAAAACCCCAAAACCCCAAAACCCCATTTATTTTACTTAAATTGAAATTACTAGAGATTAAGATGCAGCTAAGGTTTTCTTTAGAATACTGATGAAATTATCAATTTTCTCATTCGTGCTGATATCGTAGCAGTAACTCACTGAAAGATCCCTCTCAATAATCTTGATCTTTTCTTTAACGCTCTGTTCGGATAAGTTTCCCTGCGTTATCTTGCTGACGATCTTATAGATATCTTTGTATTTAGCATATTTCTTCTCAAAAGTTTCTCGAAATTCTGGATCAATGGCAAACTTTGCTTCGAAGGGTTTAGTTATTCTGAAGTTTTTGTAATTCTTGATGTTGTCAAGAAGCATTTGTTTGATTTCTTTGATAAGTTTTTCTCCTCTCTTAAGTTTTTCTCCTTTCTTAGGGTTTTCAACCCATATTTTATCCAGATTCGTTTTATCTGGTTTGCCCATCGATTTTGAGATTAGCTTTGTGATTAAATCTACACAATCTTTTGAAATCGTTCAGTCTGGGATATGGTTAATCTTTAATTCAAATGGAGTTTCACCTACTGTATGGAAACATTTAAGTAAGCTCTTCACCCCATCATCTGAAATTCTCTTTAAATATGGCCCGATTATCAGCCCAACAAAGGGTTTTTTATCGTTCGAAAACATTTTTTGATGCGAAGAATGGTTCTTAATATCTATTTGGGATGGTGAAACCTCAAAAAACGGATGTGAATGATACCAAGATAATACCTTTTCTCCATTCTCCTCAACCTTCAATTTCTGTTTCAGTGATGAATTTGTTTCCATCTCAACATTCCTCGTCCTATCAATTTTGTCTCTCATGTCTTCAGTTGGCTCCAAAGGATTTCAGGGATATCAGTGGTGAAAGAAAATTATGGATTTTTGCTCCTGTCCCGGTTTAAGGCTAGTATATAAGTCCAATGTATGTCCTCCTAGATACCCAATAACCTCTGTACTATAAAGATGTGAATGGATCGTCATGATAAGCAGGCACTCAAGCGAGAGATAAATCTCCAGAGGTTGTCCCTTCTTGTGCTTAGATGGAAGGATCATCATATAATCACTTTCAAGAGGAATCTCATTTTCACCATAAGTTGCCTCTCCAGGTCTCCCATTCTTATCAAACGTAAAGAAAATTGGTTTCTTGGTCTTCCTCTTAGGTCTTTCACCCCTACTAATCTTCGGCTCAGGTTTCTCCTTTAGCTTTGGTCACTTAAACTTAACAGGATTAACTTCAACAGGAGCCTTTGGCAGTTCCGACTGCTTGAATGCAGATTTTCTGTCTCTCTTCTTGAAAGGTGAGGATTTCAACCTATTTGACTTTACTGGCGATTTTATTGGCTGTAGTTTAGGAATTTTTAGTTCTGGCCGAGGTTGAAATGGTGGGATCGGGGGAATTTGAGGCAATTTATGAAGACCTCTAGTTCTGTTCCGAGTCTTTATTGGGGAGTTAAATGGGATGTCGCTGAGAGGCTTTAGGGTAATTTGGCTGGTTTTCATTCAAGTTTGAGTGTTAAGTGAGGTCGAGAACGTTTTGAGCATTTGCCCATCTATTAGAATTTCATCGGGGTTTAAAGGCTTCTTACGAGGAGATTTTGCTAGTTTGCATGAAGGCTCCTTTTTCTCCTCACAAATTGGTTTTATTACGCTTTTCAGTTTCCTCCTGGTTATTGCCTTCTTCATCTTTTTGGGGCTATTTTGATGAGCACTTTTGGTTGCTTTCTTTGTTTTCTTTTTCTTCTTAATCTCTTTCTTTGGCTTTTCGTTGGTCAAAGTTCGGTTATCTTTTGAAGAATCATTATTATTTTCAGATAGTCTGGACGACTCTAAAGTCGATTCGAGAGTTTCACCTTCATTCTTCTTTCTTTTTCATTGTTCTTGGCATTTTTCTGGGGACTTTTCAGGAGACTTTCCGATAGACTTTTCGAGAGGCTTCCTACTTGGCTTTTTGATAGCCTTTTTGTGATACTTTCCTTTTTGCTTTTTGAGAGACCTTTTACTCAACTTTTCATTCATTATTAACTGAATGTTCAAGCTCAGAAATCAAGAATAAGCAGTTTAATGTTCAAAATATTGGATCTTTTGAAAAATTAGTATGCTTATTTTTACTCTAATTTAAAGAGTTTAAGGTTAAGTTTCAAAAATTACGACTCATCAATATCTTGGTTGCCCTCTGGGGTTTTGGGGTTTTGGGGTTTTGGGGTTTTGGGG